CACTCCTTGCACTTGTTCGTGAGAAAAATGCCCCGACAGTGGCAAGGTCGATTTGGTGTCTGTAATCATATATTCGGGGAGTAATGATTGCATTATATGGGTGGTGAGTTTAGTGTATAATGAAATGCTGACGAGAAACTAGCAGGAACATAACTCCTCGTTGTTGCACTTGTCAGAAATTGCTACCAGCATTCCAACTATCTGAAATTTATTGAGAAACTTGAAGCAATAAACAATGCTTAATATTTCAGAGTCACCACACTGTATTACGATTTCAAAGCTTGTTTTAAACTAAAATCACATATAAAAAAATGATGAAACATGTATTATATCCAGATGCTTATTTAAACTAGATTGAAAATGTCGTGGGCCCTACGGTTGCTCAGTGAGCAAGGCGGGGGTTCACTAATCGGTGCGTCTAGGGTTTGATCCAACATTTGATCGAGAAAGTACTTCGGGATTTTCCAGCGTGGTTTCCCTTGTCAGCGATGCAGGACTAAGGTCCTGGTAAGGAACAATTTGTAGTTGTTCCGATGGGACAAAGAACCGGAATTACCCTGGACGTTGATGTTCACGTAAAAGAACCATTGGTTATGGGAATTCGAAGTGAGAGTAGGCTGTAGCGTAGCTATCCTGGCGTGAGAGCGTATCGTTCACGCATACTATAAACCAAGCCACTATAACTATTTTTAACCTGTCCGTGTAGAGTTAGCTACGCATGGGCTCTTGCTGCCATTATCCATGAAGTTAAAGATACATTAGTTAAGAGTTTTATAAAGAGTTGGCCAGCCTTGCTATAATAATTAAAAAATAGATGATAAAAAAGAAAATGTTGACAATTTCATTCAAATTACTTTGTTCTGAACACAATTGTCACTGTTGGAAGTTTGGATTAGAAATAGGCATCAATTGTGTCTGCACTGTCTATGAGAATTGGCGATCGTTTGATTGACAGACGATAACTCCACCCACATATTCTCGATTATGAAGTAACATGTTCAATGGTGGCTATGGTAGACTCGCTTGGCAGACCTTTCATCGTCAGTTTCCGGTAGTGACATCAGCGACTAACGGTAAACGTTAGTTTGGTCCACCATTTATTGCTTTAATTTTACATGGACGACTGTTTAAATCCAAACTGTATCTAACCCATCCGTGCGTCTACAGAGTTGATTTTGAGCTTGTCCTGTAAATAAAGGTCTAATTAATAATTTCTATAACATCTGAAGCTTAAATAAACACTTGCGATAGGCTGGATTAGCTCTTACATAATGTATGTTTAACTTTCTGTACATGTCCAAAGCTAGATGGAGCTGACGTTGTTAAGCTTACCCGTTCAGATGGCCGGTCTAAGTCAGGTTAAAGTAAAAGTTACCATGGCTGGACGATCACCGGTATTTTTTAAAAACAGGCTTACTTACCGCTTGAAAGGCTTCTATTCGACCACCATCATAACTGCTAAATATTTTTAGATGACTGCAGCACGATTGTGTCACTTTGAATTAGATAAATAATGCGTTAGCTAAAATAGTTAATCTATATTGATTAAGACATAAAAATAGCGAGTTTAGCCAGTATCTCAATGTGACAGTTAAAACTGTTAGGTCCCTTTAAATCAAGAACACCCTAGATGACGATAATCCAGTCCACTTAACATCATAGTTTAGAAACCGATCAATCGTAGACAAGATGTGATCAAGAGATGTGATGTTCATTTTTCTTTTGAGTTTTTTTCTAAAGACGTGATGCAATGAGTGTTATTGATGGGTTTAATTATCGTGTTTATAGAACTCTTCCATCATTCACTTCGTCATTAACAAACTGATATATTTCTTTATATAGAGACAGACCACCGAGTGATCGGGGCGCTGAGGGCTCTGATTAAAAGTTCTTTCAATGTCGTAATCCAACATCATCCTATATGTTCTGATTTCTATGTGAACATCTGCAGGTATTATTTGATCCGATTAATATAATCCCAGAGACTTAAAACAAGGACTTGGCTACTCGGGTGTGATTAATAATATCTGTACATCGGTCTAGCAGCTCTCATCTTTGCAACCCGCCTCTGTGAGTTATGTTGGACTACCCCCTCCCTTCCACTACCCCCGCCCCCAACTTATTCTACGACTATATAAAACACCACACTACCAGCAGTATGTAGATTAAGAGAGAGGGAGAGAGAGAGACTAACACATGGTCCAATTTTATTTCAATAATTCGCTTGCGCGTAGGGGTCTTTAGCAGTGGAAGCAAACCGGAGGACCCGGAGAAAAGCAAAGAAGTTGGACAGGAGACCCTACTCCTTGTCACGTACAACCGGGGAATCGAAACCACGCCAGTTGACTCAATGACAGACATTATGATCAATGCCGAACTTGAAATGTGCATTGGTCTTCCTAATTTTGTTCGCGAAATGATACTATCAAGACCGGTGTGTTAAAGTGTATACTTTTTTACTAAAATATTTGGTTACTTTTAAATGATAATCAAGTGTAATAACTCACTGTCTTGTTCAGTTGGAAGATGAACAAATCTATTACTGAAGTGATAACAATAGTCATTAATCATAATCATTTTTTTCTATGGCAATCATAATATACGTTCTATATATAGAAACCTGTTGGGTTGGAATAATCGTTTTAGCCAGTCACTGCCAGTAATCTGATGTTCAAATTTTACAGTGATCAATTTTTTATGGCCGAATGGTCTATAACGGGTGCGCTTTAGATCACAAGGTCTGCCATTGAGTCAAGTTTCGTGGGTTTCGAGCCCACACTTGTACGTGACAAGGAGTGGTGTCGACTGACTAACCTCGTAGATTTTCTTGGGATCGACCTGACGTCGTCTTCAATGACAGCGTCTGCGAATGGTTGTATAGAGGCTGCCATCTTGGCACCATTTTGTGCGTCGGTCGTGTCTATTTCAGATATACACAATCAATTCTGTTGATGTTTTTAGCGTTGGGATTGTCTAATAGTTAATTTATTTCAGTTCTAAAACAAATATTTTAAACTTTAACGCAAATTTAGAAAATAGCCAAATTCTGGCTGGGATTACTGAGCAAAATGGCCATTCACTGTATACGTGCGAAAAAAAAGCTAGCCACCAATTAATTTTCGTACGTTAGTTACGTACGTTGAATTCCATTGCTTCAAATACTAACCTTGGGGTTGTCACGTGTTCTCTGACACAGACAAACGCCATGTACTATTTTTTGCACACCATCATTCGCTTCATGTAATTCATGTATAACTTCAGGGACTTTTCTCGGTTTAAACACAATATTTTATTCATTAATGAAATCTGTTCATTCAAATAATTTCTACTTTATCGCATCCCGTGGGCATTTTTATGTAATAAAATTTATCTTATCGTGTCGCTGGAAACATGGTATGTGTCTTACGACCCACTCAAGTTTCGGTTTACCCGTTCAAAAGACGGTCGCCGTTGCAACCATCCTGGTCGTTGCTACGTCTTCGAAAATAAATTGTCGAGCAAGCGGCAGATATTTTAAAATGTTAAAGCCCCATCCAAACGACAATATATTTGTCTCTAGGGGGTTTACAATCACATTATGCTCTCCCTAAAACAAGTTCCTTCCTTAAAATTATAGATTACCCGTGTTTACAGGGGTGGGGCTGTCATTATTGATCGATTGGTTTAATGTAGATCTAATGAATTTTGACCTTTGGTTATTTTGGGAGACATGTCGGGTTCCTTCTTGTAAACAAATTCACGTCTTGCATGCATTCTTGTTCTTGATAATCAAAAGAACAGTCTAGAACCCGATCTTAGGAATCCTATTTATTTGAGGCAAAGCGAGTGAATAAGTAGATAATATCGAAATAATGGAATGGGTCCTATTTTTAGATTCTGTTGTAATATGGTCGTAATTGTAAACACATTTAGACTTGTGCGTTTCTCTGCAGTATACTTTACTGTCATTTCATACAATTGTATTAAGATTCTTTCTATATTTCCTTATGGTATTCCTGCTTCCATAATACCTGACCAAGGTTGAGCTCATAGCTGGTGGTTGTGGCGGCTAAAAACGATTGCCGCTACATTGGGAATAGATTGCTGCCATAAATAGCCGTTACATTCAAAAATTAGTATACTAGTCTGTTTAGCGGTTCTAATTCGTACACACAACGACTTAGATAGAAGCGGTTTTAATGGAAGCCGTTTAACATCTTTCGTGTAGGAACTAAATAACTAAAAAAACATATTCAATTTCATTAAATTTAACTGGAATGTAGGAATTAAAATGTCGGTCAAACAGCTTCTTGTCTGATCTCAAGCAGAGCTCATTTAGACAGACAACGTAATATTGGTATGTTATTGGGTTAGCCCGATTCTCTCTCTCTCTCTCTCTCTCTCTCAAATATTAATACACACCAAACATGCCTTTAGTCGGGCCTGTCGCCCCCGCCTTAGCGGCGTCCTGGTAACCGGGCTTTTCATTTGACAGTTAATTTCATTTTTGTTATTTTATACGTTGTTTAGTATATAGTTTGTACACTTACATTGTATTACCACTGTTCTATTTTGGTTTTTATGTGTTTGTTTTGTTTTAAAGTTATACTGAAACACGATTTAATAAATAATTTAAGATCTACACTTAAAGATATCCAATATACTTATTTTAAGAGTCTTTGTGTGGCCAATTTGATAACGATAGAAAAAAAACTTTACATAGCAACAGTAAGTTCGGTTAACCTCTTATACAAGATGCCTACAAACTGTGGCCTAATATATTTTGCTGGTTGGGGTTCAAATTGCATTCGGGTCCTCCTTGATTTGATTGCGTGGGGTGTAATATTGAGATATAGCGGGTGTAAGTCTATCAGTTTTAGTTTCGTATTTTTTACGTCTTTTAACCTTTGACCATTGAAACATACATGACCCATAAGTGATCATTGGAAGCATCTGAAAACAAATCTATGTTAATTCAATTAAAGCGTCCGATCAAAGATGTACCAATTTGTGTTTTTCAGGCGATGAAGTATATGTTTGGATTTAAATGGATGTATAGTCTTCTACTACTAATCAAGATGGCGTCAGCTATTGTCAAGAGGGTAAGTTCCATTTTAGATTATGGTTTATTCCGACTAAAAGCACTTATAAACTTCTCCATTTTTCAAATTGCTTGTTAAAATTGCATAGAGTGTTCTATGCGAAAATCTCATAAGTATATTACGAGAACGATTCGGTGACCAAGAGGTCTAACGTTTTCGCTGCTCGTTATGATACCTGTTATTTTCATTACCAAATGAAATAACAATGTAATCGTTAGTGCACCCCCACCACTCTCTCTCTCTCTCTCTCTCTCTCTCTCTCACATGGGTATAAATGAGTAAATTTCATGATGCGAGTCACAGCAAATGAAGATTTCCAGGCAATGCTCACGCTGTCGATCGCCATTTCCGCCAATTGCCACAGAAATAGAATTTTGGCGATAACTTTTCCTGTATTGCGATTCTATTTTAAGAGTGCCGAAAAATTTTGATTTCCACAACATGCATCCGTTACAGTCTATTGTTCTTGGCTGGGTCAGTTATCAATCAAGTAGGTATCAATGATACGGCTATCTTTTGTCTATTAATCGATCTCGGATTAGTGTTAATAATTATTTACAGCGAGTGTAATAAACTAATTATTTGTCTTTAAATACGAATCGGTGGCTTATTTGATAGTTTCTATATATATTCAAAATGGCGGGTATGAACACTACTCGTTCGATTTGTTTGGTACAATATCACCCTTGGTCGTAGTGGACGAGCGAACTAAAGTCATTTAATATCAAATCAAAAATTGGCGGGAAAAAATAGAACCCAGAGTGGGCACTGATTCAAGGGCATCAGACGTATTTTTGAAGTATAATGAATATTATTTGAATTTATTGGAGTCCTAACAACTGTGGTAAATATGGGACTGGTCAAACTCCTAGTTTTTCGGTCGGTGAATTAAAGTGCATTTCACACATTAACTAAGTGATATTCAGGGCCGGCGGAAGCAATTCCTGTATGTCACTTTAAACAGTACGTTATTGTTCTTTATTAACTAACTGATATATCATTTTTTAAAAAAAACATTGGCTGGTATGCTGGAAGAAAATAATACCCATTTTAATACATTTTTTTGCAAATGAGAAAAATCACGTCAAAATGATAATATTCTGGCACCACTCAAACCACTGTATATGGTGCTCAGCTATGTGAAAAACGAGTTGAAACGTGATATTTTTGTAAGAAACTAATTTCACGAAACTTGGAAATTTTATACAGCACTGTCTATTTCGAAATTTTCTGTCAAAATCTGAAAAATAGATGACAACATTTCCAATTTTATAGACAATATGATTGACTTTTCATTATTATTTAGCTAAAAAAAAATCAAATAGATTTTTTGTAAGAAGCCGTATTAAAGTTTGAGAACCGCAGTGTAATATTCAACGGTACTGACTTCGTGACAGTTTGTATTTTGGTTATCATTAGAATCGCCAAGTCGTCATTTCCAAGCTTTAGGGCTCCAGAATTCAGTTATCTTTTTTTATTTTATTCTGTAAGACTTCGCTGTGAAAATATAAAAGTGGCATTCATCTTTAGCATACCCATATTGACAGATTTACAAAATCACTTGTAGTATCAATCTATTAGATTTTTGACAACATTCGCGGTGGGTTACTGAATAGGGGTTAGGTGCCGGGGTTGGTTTTGTCAGTTATGTAGTACCGGGGGGGGGGGTAATAGTTCGGGTGGGACGAACACCCTAAGTCCCGTGTATATTGACATGCACGTAAAAGAACCATTGTCCGCCGAAATTCGAAATAAGAGTAAACCCTAGTCAAATATGCGAAACAGTCTAAATAATATTATATTTTTATTACGTTTCGTATTAAGATTTAATTTTCCGATTTTCGACATAAGATCTTAGACATATTAAGAACAACAACATCTGTTTAGACCGCAATGTCTGCGATATCACTTCTGTGGAAGCGGAAGTTAATAACTAAGGTACTGCTACAACTACTACTTCTACTTTTGGGCGCTAAAATCGGCTATGCCATGCACGAGACTTCAGTGAGTTTATACTCATTGAACAACTACATTTTCATTGGCTGTGTATAGAACACAAGTGAGAACACAACGCAGTGCCAGAACTTGTCAGATTCCAATAAAATTGTAAATTCGCCCTATAACACGAAAGAAAAAGGAAAGTTGATTGAAAAAGTAAGAGTGATCTATAATTTGTGCTTAGGATTACAAATTGCGCGCTATGAATGTATTTCTTGTCTGTTGATAGGCATTCGCACCTATCAAAGGGGTTTCAATATTCGGTAGTATGAGATTTTATTAGCTCGATAAATCCCTCAAAATAGGCGACATGTACTTTTGAATTTGTAATTAATTGAGATGACCCCCCCCCATCACAATATTTTTATCAAGTTATTCTAACCTATTATTGGACTTATTTGTGGATATAGAGTTTTAGAGTTTACGGTCATATGTAGTACATGCAGTGCTATTCAGTCGCTGGTTAGATGTGAAAAATATGCGGAGACAACTCCCCACATCCAACGTGTGACGCGTTCTCCCTCTTCTCTGCTACATATTTAAGAACAGCCCTTGATCGTCTAGTATTTTCACTTGTCGTCTTTGCTTCCCCTTCACGTTGTGTATTTATTTCTTACTGTTTTCTTAGTTAGTTAAGACGTTTGTCTTCTCAGTAGTTATAACAATGCAACAGTTCGTTTTTACATTTTATATATCAAAATGAAATGAAATGAAATGGGGTTTAACGTCTTTTTTATATATCAAGCTGCTTACATAGGGTATATTGCGTAATAGAATAAAGTCATTCTTTCAATCCCAATTCAGCCAGAATCGGTGGGGCGAGTCTGCTGATAGAATTGCTACACCTTTTCCCTTCTAGAATCAAGCTGCTGTCTGGCGATTGCTCACAAATATGATAGTTTTGTCTAATTGGTCAAATATGATGTAAATAAGTATAGAGATTGGTTAATCAAGCTGAATGATGCAATCGTAACTTTCCGATCACGCGTTAAACATGATATTCTGATGCCCACAGAACCAGCTAATGTTTACCAAATTATAACTCTTTTTTATATAACAATCTGTCATTCATTCACTAATTTGATTTAAGTACATATTAGAAAATATGTTTGAATCCCACAACTTGCCAAAGACATTAATTAATGAAATATAATACCATCATTTTTCTCTATTCCTTGTCTATAAATTTGAAAACAATGTCGCAAGGACAATATTTCTACACATAAGAATATACTTGATTTACACTGAATTCAGTAGGGGAAAGTAAAATAGATTAAGCTCTTCTGTGACATCCATTATGTAATTGTCTTTGGGAATAGTAATATGCTCACCTATAGATGACAATATACCTGGAAACATACGTTAATTTCTCACTAGATAAGATGTTAATTTATAATAAACTAGATGCAGAGACAATAGTGGTGTAGATTTACAGTCAATGATTAGTGTCATCAATCATGTACACAATACGATTACCGTATATCGATAAACTTTTTTGTACCAATAAATAAAAAAGAAAGGCTCAGATTAAAGTAATCCCCAACATTTGTGTGTTTCCCAGGAATACTTTACCAGCGTTCACAATGAATCTTGATTTTTTTTTTACAAATGATCTATGTATAGAAGAAACATGGCGTTTATTAGTACTCTTCCTCTGTATGTGTCACAAAATACTAAATTTTACATGAGCAAGAACGAGATTCGCGGTTGCCCAACGTGTAAGGCGCTGACTCGCTAACTGTGCCTAGAAAGTTCCTCGGGATTTTTTGGCGTGTTTTCCCTTGTCAGTGGTGCAGGGCAGAGAGCCTGACAAGAAACAGTGCCTGTTTGTTCGTATAGAACAAAATACTGAGATTGACGTGCATGTTAAAGAACTCATGGCATTTGGAATTCGGAATAAGAGTTAGTCGCTTTGCCGTTGTCCGGGCAAAATTTTCCGCATAGCACATTGTATGGTGCATGTCCGTTTGCATTATCCCAGTCGGTGCAGAAAAGGATGTTAAACCCCATTTCATTTCCTCTTCATGTGCTACAGTAGGACGTTAAACCCCATTTCATTCCATTTCTTTATGTGCTACAGTAGGGCGTTAAAACCCCATTTCATTTTATTTCCTCTATATGTGCTACAGTACTGTTGTTCTTGTTGTTGCTGCTCTGCTTCTTCTTTCTTTTTTTTTCTTTTTTTTGAAGGGGGGGGGGGTCTTTGAAAAAAAAAGCCCAATGCTCCACCAATTCAAGTACGACTGACATGAAACATCGATTTTTGATATGACGTCACATGATGACTGCGATGACGTCCATAGCACGCTCGTTCTTGTTTGTTATTTTTATAGGCCCACATTTTCATGTGGACGTATTATGCCGTCGCCCCTGTCCGTTTAAATATATCACCTTTCCACCATAATGAAGGTTGAATTCGAATTTTGGGGAAATCGAAATGAAACTGACGACAAAATGGTCGCTCTATGTATGCTAATTGTGTAAAAGTATGTAACACGAAGGTTGTGGATCCTCTAAAGGTGACAATTTTTATCCGATTTTGATGAAACTTAAAACATATCTTTATATCCTAAAGATTTCAGTTCTTTTTTATATTTTCGCATTTCAGACCACGTCTTTCTGTATTATGGCCCCTTATTGTACAAAACAATCGCGTTTGTTTTTAGCTTGTTCGCTATCCTTCTCTATCCATCTCTTGCAAATGTGGGCGTATCTTGCCTGGCATGTTGGATATCCTTTGAACATATAGATATTACTGCTATTCGTTATTACCAATCTTTGAAGAGCCCATTTAAAGTAGCTAAGTCTTCCGAAGTCTTTGACATTGAAAACACGAATTATTTGTCAATTTAAATCAACATTGATGTTGTGATCTTACCGGGAACAGATTGGCTTCTGATATCCAATAATTAAGACAAACTAAACATTTTACCATTGGTACACGAATCGTGTAACAGAACGCGTTTCAACGCCATTTGTAACAAGGGACTCGAAGAACGAGA